TACAGGGGCAAGTTAAACCATAAATTCAGACAAATATATCGACAAATGTATTTATTGATGCACTTTCCCTTTCTGCTTTATGGGCAATTGGGCTCCAAAACACAATGGTGGGCTGTTCAATAAGCAGTACAATGCAAGTTATCCCAATTAATTGGATTGTTCCATTTCTGCTGCTACTCCTTCCAATTAAATGCAAGGGAGTGCAGTGACAGGCGCAAGTAGGACAGGCTCGCAGAAAACCATATTCTAATGCAGAAGCTGCAATAAGAAAATGGAATCTATGTACCTGACAGTAATATTAATGCAAAACCTTGACCTATAATTTTTCTTTCTTCAGTCTGAGAGAGCTAGCAACAATTGCAGCTCATTAAAACGGACCATGTCCTGCCAGTCATGCATAATGCCCATGTCCTGCAAGTTTTGTGGTCTATTATCACAGAGCTGCATGGTCCTGCATGGCTAGGAACAGGGACTGCAGCCAACCCTGAAGACCTCTCTTTTAAACCTAGTGTCATGAGAGAAAGCAAGGGTTAAAAAAGCAAAGACAAACTCAAAAGTGACTGGATTGGACCTCCGGAGTTCCTCTGGACCAATACCCTGTTCAAAGCAGGGTCAGCTTCAGAGTTAAATTCAGTTTGTAAGTTAGCTCAGGTGGCTCAGTGTGGAGTATTTCCAAGGACAGAGATTTTACAGCCTCTCTGGGCACTGTGTTCCAATGCTGCCTTGTCAGGGCTCACTGCGGAAGCCACTCACCACATCACAACAGCATCTGGCTCTACTTCCTTAACTGCTTTCTTGATGCAAAGTGTGTTGTTGGCATGTGGGATGCAATAAGTAACAGTAGAGAAGTGACACCGTCATGCAAAAACAATTCCTTTGCAAGGAAGAGACCTGAAAACAGTCCCACACAAGACAGGGTAATAAAGAAGGCACTGAGGTATTTTATTCTGCGTTTGGTGCTGCTTTTCTATAAGGCACTGCCAGAACTGTTCTGGAAGATGGAGTGACCAAAGTGTTGTCCAGTTTGGGCTTGGTATTTGGCACAGACTTGAGACGTCAGGCCTGCGATAAGCTATGGTAAAGCAGCAGATGCAATTGCATCTCTTTTTCTTCAGCAGTGAGGTTTGTATCTCTCTCCAGAGCCATCTCTCCCTCCCTTCACTCCCTACAGAGAGAGCCAAAGACAACAAGCTTCCTAGCCCTGACACCTCTGATATGTGTGAAGATGGATGGGTTGAATGCAGGCCTAAAAATATTTTACATTTTCACGGTAGTTTCACAGCCCTGGTATTATCAAATGATCTTTCAGCGTACTTGGAAGCAGGAGAATAACTTGAGATGGAGTCTGGCTTTTTTGTGTCTGTGTACTTGCAAACTGTCCCTGCCTACACATCTTACAGGGTCTGCTCCTGTTTGTATATGCACATGGAAAACCAGTGTTTGTGTGAATGCTGTGTCTGCTCCATTCCCCTCCTTCCTGAAGTTTAGAGGCCGCTCAAAGCAGGTCCCCAACCCCGTGTGGTTAATTTCAAATTTGCCCTATGCACTATGCTTCACTGACCAGGCTAGTTAGGAACTCGAGGCCAGGAAGTACAAAACAATTTTAAAATCTGAACAAAAGTAGGAGATTAAGGAAACCAGCTGGAAACCTCTATTTTGCTCATTTTGAAAGCAAAATGTGGGTCACAGATGTGACTCCACAGACAGAAACTGGCTAAAGAAGAAAAAGACATCAGCAGTGCCCAGAGTCTTTGATGATTAGAGGTAGATATAGCTCCTAGGCATGGAGACAAGAAAGAGGAGACGAAGTAGGAATAAAAACATAATCAAGAGATTAGGAGTGTGGAACTCAACCCACCCATAAATTTGCCTTAGGGAATGATTAAAAAACGCAGTAATGAAAAAAGATGAAACCAACTGCTCCGTCTTACTCTCTTCCCTTCTCTTTCTGTCCTTATGGTTTTACTTTTTTGCAGTCCAAGACACAAGAGACCCATTACAAAACCTCCCACCTTCCTCAGCCATGTTTTTTCTTTGCAAAAGTGCTGTTTTCTGCTGTTCCTTTGCAGTAGCTATGAAATCCTTGCTAAGGACAGGCTGACTTTAAAGCCTGAAAGAATCAAAGCTTTGCAAGGAAGTCCACATCAGTAGGCAGGTGTGCATGGGAGAGTAGAAAGCAATGCACTCCTGCCCATCTTTTATAGGAGCACCAGTACTCACTTCCTGTTTAGGCTAATATAAAATATTGCATCTATTGTCAGTGAAATCAGTGCTAGACTAGTATGAGCTGTGCTGCTAGCTCTGGCAGGCTGTGACTTGGTCTCCCAAGGGCTGTAACAGGCCTGTTGTTTGAGCCATTAATAAAACCTCAAGGTAAAGCACTGAAAGAGCAATGTGGAACAGCAGCAGCACTGACTCAGAGAAGCCCAAATGGTGGTTCCTTAGAAATAGCCAGGCAGTGGAGTGGGTTCTGAAAAGCAGTCAGTGTGTGGTTTCTGGGGTGAAGTGCCTGAACCACTCCTGAAGGTCCCACCTATGCTGGCAATGACAGGACATGGTCACTTGGTGCCTCTGGGCTTTGTGACATGTACTGAGCAGCCCTGGAGTGTGATATCCGTCTCCTGCAGCAAGCTTCCCTCCAGCCAGCAAAACATCAAACTCTATGGCTTAACACAAAGCGAAGCCTGAAGTAAGAATGATGCTAGTCCAGTTTTTCAGATTTTGGGGAACTTCAGATTCAGCTTCCTAAATTCAGCCCCAACTGAAGACATATTTTGTAGTTGCTAGTGTTTTAAATCACATACCGGTGTCAATAAAGATAAGTCCTTTCCTGGGGTGGGGGGAAGTGGCAGCAGGGGTGAAGAGGGAAACATAGAAAAATGTCCCAAATCTTTCACTCATGCAGAAGAAAAACGACCTCAAAGCATCGAAGGATTAAATGAAAAATATGCCTCTTTTCACTGGAGTCCACCGGGTGTGAATAAATGCCAACTGAGCTCTCACTTGCATCACCATCTGGTGTGATGGCACCAAGGCCTCGAGGTGCAGCAGGACATGTTACACTGCCCTGCCATGAGACAGCATCTCTGCTTCTGGGCACAGAACCACAAGAGGCACCTAAATGCCAGCAGGTGCCTAAATGTGAAGGAACTTGTTATCTTCAGCTTCACCATCTGACCTAGCCCAGAGAAAAGGGGCGTCCAGCCACAGCATGACTCAGAGCGTAGTGAAGGAGAGGCAGTACAGCCCTCCCCTTGCAAGGAGGATTTCTTTTGCTGGGCTGCAACTGCACACTGATATTGCTGTGAATACCACAGCACAGAGCCTCCTTGGTTGAAGTCTAGAAACTGCTTGTGGTTTCAGAACTCTTGTTGATGAATTGTCCAGCAGCTGGTCACACTAGGAGGGCGCTGCTTATTATTTTCAACTGCTATCTCACATGGAAAGAAAATCAAAACACTTTCCTCAAAGTAATTGGCTCTAAAACAATTGAAGAACTTTCCACAAGGTTGTAATGCAATTAGGACTGGCATTTTATATAATTTATATCTCTAAAGGTATGTTTATGCCATCAAACCCTTCTTCTGTGAGGAAAAAAAAAATGCTGGTAAGATAAGGATAAGTTTGCTATTACAGGCAATGAAATACAGATGAAACACAAACGTCCACCTATTAGTGATTAAAAGGCAGCATAATGTCAGGATCAGCACTGAGATGTAGCTGCTTTTGATGAGAAATGGCTGGGTGGGATGCTGTGACACCAACTACATATCTGCAGGTTTCCCATTTGGTTTTTGGTCAGTGCCAAGAGATGTGTCATCACCCGCCTTCTCCTGCAGCACCACAAGAGCAGAAACAATCCTGCACTCCCCAGCTGCCCTGCCAGCTTTGACCGGAGAAGCTTGTGCAGACTGGGGATGATCAGGCCCACCACACAGAACAAAACCGTCAGCCATGCTGGTGCTTGGGTTCATGTTTTGATAGGTACCCAGAAAAACCCTGCACGGCAAAGCCAGACAATCGAAACACACAATAACAACTCCCAAAGTGTGTGAGTCAGCTGGTGAACTTGTTGACATGGGGTAATGTGAAAGCCAAAAGCATGGATGTAGCACTACCCTGTCACCATCTGGGGAAGCCTCTATTTCCCTGACTGCCAAAAGGTCCAAGGTATAAATGGGGAAATGATCTCTCTGTGCTTGCTTGTTCCTTATGCTCATACTTAACTATGTTAGTGACTACTCCCAAGACACAGTACAGGGCCTTGTGATGTTTCGCCTGACTACTACAGCTGCTGCAGTTGAAATTATGGAATGAAAGGCTTTAGCCTCCTTGCCTAGGTGGAGGCAAACAGACTGGATGAATTACCATTAGAAATGGTTCTGAACTGAAACTGGGGAGGCACTCAACATTTCTTCAGAGCCAGAGCGGCCGTTTACAAGTAGATGTTCTGTCCTTACGATGAGATGAACCAAAGTTATGGATTCAGACAATCAACATTAGAAAATATCTAATGGTAGAGATACCACTGACTATATTATGAGAACATTATGACACTGTAAAAGCAAAGCCATCTCTTACCCCTGGTGGTAGGACAGTTGCCTACCAGTACAGTGTATGACTATGAGAAAAGCAAACCCAAGAGATGTACTACTATACACAGCAGGTAATCCTACCCTTCTGTTATGTATCAGACAAATGAAGAAGCCACCAGCCACGTCCACAAGTTGGTTTGTCTCTGCTGACTAGATCTGTGTTTACAGAAACCTACTTTGAGCTGTTTGGGAGTAGTTTGGGAACCTGGTCTTCAGGTCATGGACCTGACCCCAGGCTGGCCACAGGGGACTTGAATGTCCTGCCTGATCCTTTCTGCCTTGCCGCAGCCTGTGACGCAACATGCATCCCAGTCTGTAAGCAGAATCACGTTCAGATCCACTGCTATGAGGTCCCTAATTTTAGTTACAATTTCAACGCCAAAAACTATGGACAGAGATACTCACTATTGGGCCGAGTCATTAAGTTGATATTCGCGGGACCGGTTGAAGCATTCTTGGATCCCAGAGTCTGCCCAGAGTCTCATCATAGCTGACAGCAGCTCCGGAGAGAAGGGCTCTGTGTCCTCCATCCGACTTACAACATCGCAGACCATCTTGGCATCAGCCTGCAGAGAAAGGAAAAGAGAGGTCACATAGATGCTTAAAGGAGATTTGGGAGCCAGAGATTTCAGAAACAGTTCATGAAACCATGAGGAGTAAAGAGGCTGCATTTTGCACCCTTTAGGATCCATACCATATGATCCAGCAGAAGGCAAAAAAGGAGGATGGAACAAGAAAGCCACAAGGAAAGAGATTATTTGTGCAATCCACCTCACATCAACAAATACTTCTATTCAGCAGTCAAACCAGTTGGCACTGTGGATGTGTGGAGTTTCCTGGGAAAAGAAAGGAAGCCATCTATGTACAAGGACATTTTAAATTGTTAGCAAAGGGACACATATTGTGCAGTGATGCCTGGTTTAACTTTGCTGAAGTAGGGGCCATTTGTATTACAAAGCACATCAGAAATGCTCCAGAAAAATTATTTCAGATGCTGGTTTATTGCTTTTCCTGAATTCTTGTTCTTTGCTCTAAGCCCCTGCCACAGGGGCTAATTCATGGTAATACTGCACACCTTGGCTGGCTGTCTTGCTTTATGACTCACAGGGAGAGGAATCTCCCATGGTTAAGGAGTATGGCAGTGAGGGCTGGGCCAGCTGGCTGCTTGCAGATGGAATCTTTTTGGGTAGAAATATGTGAGTTGCTGGAATGGCAGCTTTTCTTAACACAACTCAGGTCTGGAAGATGTCTCAGATTTAGGATGGGAACGCCTAGACAGACTCGGAACACTGAGTTCATTCCTACTGTAATAGTCCCCAGTGGCTGATGCTTCCCTTGTTTGCAAAGCATGGGCACCCAAATTCATGTCCCCCTCTGCCTGCTTTGTGGTAAGTGGATCTCTCACATCCCACACCCCCCAGGCTTCAGGAGGCCCAGGGATGTTGACTAATCTGCAGAGTTTTTCTCTCATGACTTTGGATATGTTGGAGTAGTCTCATATTTCTACCAGCTGAAAAAAAACAATTGTTACTGCTGTAATTAATGGAAAAAGTGGAGCACCTATTTGTTCTGATTTGTTCAGCCTGGAGAAAAGAAGGCTCAGGGGAGACCTTAGAGAAATACCTAAAGGGGGCTTACTAGAAGTCTGCAGAGGGGCTTTTGACAAGGGCCTGTAGAGACCGGAAAAGGAGGAATGGTTTTAAACTAACAGAGGAGAGATTGAGATGAGCTCTTAGACAAAAGTTCTTCCCTGTGAGGGTGGTGAGGCCCTGGCACAGGTTACCCAGAGAAGCTGTGGCTGCCCCATCCCTGGCAGTGTTCAAGGCCAGGTTGGACGGGGCTTGGAGCAACCTGCTCTAGTAGAAGGTGTTCCTGCCTGTTGTAGCAGGGGGGTGGAACCCTTCCAACCCAAACCATTCTGCTATTCCTTATGTGCGCTTACAGCAAAGCAGTGAAGACAACCACCTTGTTTTATTACCTTTTCTCTTGTCTGAGATAGAACCCATTCTTGGACAAATACAGGTATAAGTCTTCTCAGAAAGGGGAGAGTAGGCAGTTCCCATGCTTTGCTGTCACTGTCCCATGGACAGACAACCCCTCTTCATCACAGCAAAAGGCACCCACAGCTGAGCATGCAGCTCCTGGGGAGCCCACGCACTGCCTGCTAGGGAGCAGCTCCTACAACCTTCCTGGCTACAACAGGCTCTGTCCTGTTCCTCTGCACTGCCAGGTGCTGCTGCTGCTCCTGGCTATTGCTCAGAGTTGGCAGCTATGATAGGAACAACCCAACTGCTGAATGGGTTGCTCTCCCTGGGTACTGCTAGAGCACTGGGGACAAGGTGTTACAGGTTTTGGGGCAAAGCAAGCAGATTATTTCTTAGCTCATGGGTGCAATTAGAAGTAGAGGAGCACCAGTGTTGGATAGCACCACATTAATTTAATTGCATTGGTGGGAACAATGAAGTGTATGGCGTGGCCTGCATGGATAGGAGCAAAACTCATCTGCAGCCTTTTGCTATTGAATATTGAAATTATTGAAAAGTCACAGAGCACCAAATTGGTGGAGACTGAAGCTGGTGGAAATTTCAATGCTCAGAGAAAGAGCCTCAAGTCCCCTAAACATCTTTATGGGCTGAAGAAGTCTGTGTTGTATGGAGACACCATTCCATAAAATTTAATGGGGTGGAGTCTCTATGCTTTGAAGACTTCATGTTCATAAAGTCTTTCTTGCAAAATACTTAACTTTTGGTGCCCAGGATTCCTCCCAGCCCTCTGTAGACTCTGCTTGTTCTGGAGAAATAATGTTGATGACTCATACCTCAAAGTCAAGACAAACAAAGAACCTTGAGGAGTTCAGTTAATTTCAAAAGCTTGTTTTCTGCCCTGAGTGCTTTGTGAGCTCAGTGAATATTCATAAATCATCAGTACAGTTTGCCTGTTCTGCTGGAGCTGATAATCTGCTCTTTTCACAGACTCTACATAACACATGACCTGCTAATGGCCAGTACGCTTGGGACTGCACTCTGGCATGACCCTGTTTCTTCTGCATGGGTGGTGCACAAAAGCATCCACGCCTTCAGCTAGGTAGGGAGGAGGTCTTTCTTATGTTATCTTGACTGTTGGGGGGATTATTCATATGTGTAAATCACAGATCTGTCCACCTGTCTGTGATCACAAAGCACATCTGAATCCCTCCAGCTGCTACAGGCAGGGCGTGGGCTTTTTCTAAGCTTTTCAGATTTAACTGCAGGCTTCTTTCTGCAAAGCAGGAGAAGGAACAGCACGGCCATCTCATTTCTGTGCTGGGAAGTAGCTGCCTCACCACTCCCACTACTGAGACTTGTGGCAGTCCCATGATTTAAAATCTGAAGCAAGAGCGTTTGAGCAGAAGACATGGATGAACAGCAGTGACAGGGCAGAACAGGAATGACCAGGGACAGGCACCTCTGGCTGTGGTTACCAGGTCTGCTTGGGCCAGAAGTGGGGCTGAGCTTGAAGGACAGGGGGTTACTTTGGTACACGCTCCTCTGCAGTCACTCGAGATCCCTTCTGGGGACGGCAGAGCTGCCCTCCTGCAGTGCAAGCAGCTGTCTGCAGGGTAGGCTGGAGCAAGGGAAGTTTATTGCTGCTGCTGAATGGCAGTAGAAATATTTCAGTCTGAAGTTTCATTTTGCAAACTGAACCATTGAACTCTCAGTTTTAAAGACCCAGGAAAAGAAGGTGAGGTGAGTATTTCTGAAAGCACCCCCCCTCCCTGCCAAGGATGAAGTCCCTCTGGATACCCAAGGAGTATGGAGCCATCCAGGAGTTCAGGCATTTGTGAGATGATTTAACGAGCAATTAAGGATTCAAGAACAGAAGATCTCCCTTTCTTTTCTCACTCTCCAGGCTGCATCTCAAGCTGGGAATGACATTAAAATCTCCAGCCCCACCCTGGGCTCAGCAGGTAGATTTCTAAATACTGCCTGATTGACTTTTCCTTTCCCACCTCCCCTGAGTCTGGTGCTCCTGCTTTTCCTGAGGTGAGAGGAGCCGAGCCTCCTGCCACGCTCTGTCTCTGTACTCAAGCCAGCAATTAAATAAAGCAAAACAAACCAGACCAAACAGCCCCCCAGCCTGGCCTTGAAGCTCCCATCCAGCAGGCCTGTCGTTAATGAATATCACGGTGGTATTTCAGCTACCCTGGGAACTAAAAATAGGCAGTGCTCTCTGCCCCTGGGATTGCTGGAAGGAGCCATGGAATGGTGCAAGGCTGCTTCCTCCATTACTGCCTGTCTTTCCCCAGCTGTTCTGTCTCTCGTGCCCTTGGTACAAGCTGGCTGAGAGGAGGATATGGGGTTGGGCTGATCTCCTTCAGGCTGGTTCTTAACTGGCATCCCCAGCCCATCCCCACAGCGATTCCACTGCATCCTACTGCCATTTCCCAATGGCTTGCATTTTCCATAGCAGGACAAACCTTAATGCCAAGCTGATTCACAAAATCCCATACTGGTTTGGGTTGGAAGGGACCTCAAAGCTCAGCCAGTCTAAACTCCCTGCCATGGGCAGAGACACCTTCCACTAGACCAGGTTGCTCCAAGCACCATCCAACCTGGCCTTGAACACTGCCAGGGATGGGGCAGCCACAGCTTCTCTGGGCAACCTGTGCCAGTGCCTCACCATCCTCACAGTAAAGAACCTCTTCCTTCTATCTAACCTGAACTTCCCCTGTTTAATAAACCTATTGCCCCTTGTCCTATCGCTACAGTCCCTAATGAAGAGTCCCTCCCCAGCATCCTTATAGGCCCCTTCAGATACTGGAAGGCTGCTAGGAGGTCTCCACACAGCCTTCTCTTCTCCAGGCTGAACAGCCCCAACTTTCTCAGCCTATCTTCATACAGGAGGTGCTCCAGTCCCCTGATCATCCTCGTGGCCCTCCTCTGGACTTGTTCCAGCAGTTCCATGTCCTTTTTATGTTGAGGACAACAGAACTGCACACAATACTCCAAGTGGGGTCTCACAAGAGCAGAGTAAGATCACCTCCTTCGACTTGCTGGTCATGCTGCTGGGGATGCACACCAGAATTGACTGCCTTTGGGTTGCTTGCTGTCAGGAGTGGGATTTATTTAACTCAGTGTCATTCCTGAATGCTGAATGTGCCCACGTACCGTGGGAGAATTAGAGCTGGCTTGTCTGGGCTGGGCTTGTCTGAGGGAAAGAGCTGAGCTTGGAAACCCTGGGATGGTAAAATATACATCCAGACTTTAGCCATCAAGCTAAAGACCAAGTAACCCTGTGTTAAAGAACAACCTCCATGCCAGACAGGGAATGGGGAGGGCTCTGTAGTGCCAGGGCAGGGTGGTGGGGTTGTAAGACAGTGAAATCCAAAGGTATATGTGAACAGGTAGCTTGTAAACTTAGTGGGAAGTCAGTGTGGCTCCTTTCCAGCCTGGGCTCTGTGTCTGTGTTTGTGCCAGACACATGGTATAAATCTAGTTCATAAAGGGATCTGTTTCCTCACTAACCTGGACATAACTGCAGTTATTTAATTGTCTCCCATATGTCACTGTCACCAAGTACACAGGTT